TATATATATCTTGATTTAGAATTGCTATTTTAATTCATTGTTGGCAAAATAGTTTTTTTTTTTCTTTTTTTTTCTTTTTTTTCAAAATCAAATTTATTAATCAACAACCGAAGGAAAGACGATACTTTATGAAGTATATTTTTGATATGTGTTATGAAAATATTTTGACATAATATTTAATTCATACATGATACATGTTGTAAGAACTTGTGATTCTTATTTATTGTAATCTAAAATTCTAAATTTATTTTTGATATGTGTTATGAAAATATTCTGATACAATATTCAATTGATACATGACACATGTTGTAAGAATTTGTGATTCTTATTTATTGTAATCTAAAATTCTAAATTTACTTATCGATTATGCATCTCAAATATGTTTTGAGATGTATAATGGATAGGTAAATTTGTTGTGATTCTAAATCTGTTATTTTGTAGATAGAATGATTGTACAAAATTTATTTGTTTTTTTTAGAATATAATTATTGAGATATATAATGCACATACACAAAATTTCCATTTGTAATGACAACTTTTAAATAAGTAGCAAAAAGTGAAAAAAATATTAACTTGCTAGTTAGACCTATTTTTCAAGAAATAAGTTTTTATCTCATATTTCCTCGCAAATTTTGATCACCATCTTTAAATTCAAGATCATTATCCATTAATTACCAAACCAGAATCATCTCTCATGGTGAATATACATCATTACCGCTGATTGATCTAACGGTCAAAATTAGGCCACACCAATTAAAAAAAGGAAATCATTTTTCAGTTAAATGAAAAAAATAGGGAAATAATGTTAAGGCAAACACTGCCTTAACGATCCAAACCCAGTCCTCTCTCCCCTATCTTTCTTCCCCAAATCTAGTTCTCTCGTTTGTCTTTCTCTCTCCAACTATGCGAAGAAGAAATCATGGTTTTTTATGGTCACCATCCTTTATCAGAAAAATCAATTCCACTTTAAAGCGTGTATATATATATTTATGGGAATAGGAGGAAATATAAAATCAATTGAAATCAATTTCATTATTTTACTTAGTCAATTCCATTACCCACATAAGGATGAAGGTATTTGGTGTTGGTGAAAAATTAGAGGAGGATGAAGGAAGAAGAAGAGAACAGAAGCATGAATAGGGGTGGCAAAAATCCCCAATCCGGTGGGGAACCGCGCCCCCCCCTCCCCCCCCCCCAATTTAAAGCGGGTTTGGAGAACCATTTACTTAAATGGGGTGGGGATGGGGGTTTAAAAAAAAAAAAAAAAAAAAAAAAAAAAAAAAAAAACAGGCCGGTTGCGGGGCAGGGGCGGGGGACTAAGATCCCTACCCCATACCCGCCCTATAACTGCCCCGTTTAAGATTTTAAATTATTAATTTATCCTACCATGTTAATATATTTACCAAATTAACCTTCATTCTCTCTCTCTCTGTATATATTGGAAACCCTACACTTAACACTTCCATATATGTTTATATATATATATATATATATATGTATATATGTGTGTATATGTGCTATGATTGTGTTTAAATAAAAATATAATCGGTTATGGGGCGGGTGATGGGGCGGGGGCGGGGCAAGTGGGGCGGGGGCGGTTATGGGGATTAGAGGCAAAAAATTAACCAGTTATGTGACGGTTTTGGGGGCACCAAAATTAAACGGGGGCGGGGATGGTGAATGGGAAACCCGCCCCATTGCCATCCCTAAGCATGAAGAAGACGAACAGAAGAGAAGAAGTAAAAGTTAATACGGTTTTTACTGAATTGGGTTCCATGTATAACTGAATAAAATATTTCTATATATAACTTTTGTATACAGTATTTGTACATGGTAAAACAAAATTGAGTTTAGAAATTTTTTTAATTCACATGCTGAGTTGGCGCTTATTAACTCTGGGTGACATGGCTTCATCAGAGCCATTGGATCGGCCATGGACACCCTCCAGTGAGAGGTGCCATGGAGAGGATTCGCACCCCAAATTCTGTTAGTCTCTCCATTTCCGCCCAATAATAATTAAAAATTCTCCTTATTATGCTAATCCCGGAACCATTTCAAGAGAGTGCTACAACTTTGGTGAACAAAATGAACTTCATTTTAATCATGTAATGTGAACACCTCTAAAAGTGAAAATAATATAGGAACTTTCATAACACAATTCAACATTTAATTTTGAACAAAATAAGAGCTTATTCAATTAAAGTACGTTTGATAACGTAATTTGAACATTACAAAATGAGATACAATTTTAAATGACAGTGTTACACTTAAAATGGAATACTATTTTAAATAACTGATGTATCACTTATCCTTAATGCGAGATGTTTTTAAAAATATAAAAAATACACCCCTAAATATCATTATTCATTTGAAGAATTTTATGTATTTATTTATTTTTTAATTCAAAGTCCAAGTATGTAGAATTAGACAAAAACAAAAGTTGATAAATTGTAGTAGTTCAGTTAAATTGGATCTCAAGGTTTTGCTCATGTCAGCAGAATTTTGAATCATGGGGTCTTACATTAATTCAAGCGATTTATCGTAATCCCATGATTTTAAATTCATGACTTTTAAACTCAAGATCTTCAATAGGCTACCATTTTCCCACTTTTAAGTATTAATCATTCAATTTTTTTCAGAATTGTTGAGCTTGATGAAAAAAGATCATGGTTTTGCAGACTCCAAAAGAAAATGATTTTTCTACCAATCATGGAAGAGCCCATTTCTCAGTAGAAATTAATGATCTGGCACCAATTGTACAACCTAAATATAGATTTTAATAAAGTAACGCCAGATAAGAAGTAGAGAAATGCGTCTAAAATTAACAATAGCTTGATCTATATGAGGATCAAGACTTATTTATTATATGAGTAATGATTAGAGAATCCAAAAAGAATTTTTGAATTAATACCGAATTTGATGTGATTGACTATACTTATCACGTGTTAAATAATTATTTTTTAAAAATTGTTTAAGTAGATGAGGTAAAAAAAAAAAAAAAGACAAATTCAAGAATTATTTAAAAAAATCATTCAGTGACTTTATCATTTTTCTATTATATATATATATGCGCGTGGATAAAGACTCGATCTTTGCTAAAAAGAGAGATAATTTGTTTGTAGAGTTCAATAGTATTGGTATTGCCGAATGAAGCTTGACATTTATACATCAAGTAACTTGTTAGCCTAGTAGCTAAAAAGAGATATAATTTGTTTATAGAGTTCAATAGTGTTGGTATTGCTGAATGAGGCATGACATTTATACATCAACTAACTTGTTAGCCTAGTAAAGTAAAGTGCTTAAGATATAATTAGTTTATGGCAGTGAAAAAATGTTTTTCTCATCAATAAAAATATAAATATCTACGGGTTAGTATTTAGTGATATCAAATTCTTACTTTTCAAAGAAATGTCAAGAGTTCGAGCCTATGTAGAAACATGCATGTGTGTGGATACCATTTAAAAAAATAAAAATAAAAATAAAATAAAAACAAAATTAATTCACATCGGGTAAGAAAAACAATCCAATTGCGTGTTACCTGTGAGTGTGTAACAAAATACTCCCAATGAGTGTTACCTATCATTCTTGCACTTTGAGAACAAATCCTTTCTAAATTTGTGCATTCAATTTTCTTAATCTTCAAATTCAATCATGCATTCAAATTTTTAGTAATTTCAGACTCCCCAAATGATAGACAACTAACGATCTTACCACTTATTATATACTAAAATATATAATGAATCAGTGGCTTAACGGTATTAAATTCTTATTTCTCAAAAGGAGATTATGAATTCAAGCCTCAATAGAAGAGACATGTATAAATGAATACCAACTAAATATATATATAAATATATATCTATATATACCAAAATGAGACTAAAAAAAAAAAAAACTAGAGAAATGTGCAACTAAGAATCAACCTACAACACTAAGAAAGGTTAACAATCCTTATCATATCATCTTTGTTGCCAGTTTCAGGTTGATCTTGTTTATGCTATTTACTAAATAAATATGCTAACTATACAAGATATTCCAACAAGTTCTTAAAATAATGTAGTACTCTAATCTAAAGTATATATTGATTGAGTGGGAGTATGTGTATTTACATATAAACTAGAGACACTTATTAGTTTTACTTTATTTAAACCACTTGATTTGAAATCCTTTAAAATTATAAAATATAGTATAAATTTTCTATTTCAATTACCAATTGTTACATATCCTCTCAACGTAAAAAAAATAATATTTACTTTTATCTCAAAACACATTTTTTTTCAGGGAGTTTGATTAGGTCATTAAGTTTTTTTTCTTTTCAATATTAAGCTTTTGGATTGTGGAGTCCCTAATATATATATATATATATAAAATCTTTTCATGGAATGAAACTCGAATTTAGGACAACAACTAAAAATAAGAAATTAAGAAGGAATCTTTAGACGGTATTTTTTTTTTTCCCAGGATATATCAGGTAAATCAACACACGTCGATTATGAATAGAAAGCACATAGGCATGAAATGGAGGTCCAATTTGTGACTCCACAAAAATCAATTTCGCAACATTTCACGGTATTTTCACCAATCCCGTCGAGCTTTAATAAGATACTGTAGTAGTGTAGTACTAGTAAATCCTTTAGTATCAAGGTATACTATATAATAATATACACACACACATATAACCTACACAGAATGCAACTTAAAGGAGAAGAATCCACCTCTTTAATTCCATTGACCATCACCTGCGAAACCAATTAATTGCTTATAAAAAATTACTGTAAAGGTCAACATTTAACTGATATTTAAACTGCACGACCAATATCAGCAAAAAGACTTGACAACACATTAATTACCAAAATAGCCAGCCTCAAAAACAATGTGGATATAGAAAAGAGAGGAGGAGAATCTAAAATACGCCCAATGAACAAACAAGGACCTGCGCATGGTAGTCACATGCAGAACACTCTTAATTTATGAGTGGACTGCATGCACACATCAATCACACATCAATACCCTCCGCTGGCGGCGGCGGATGACAGAGAAGACTGCAACTGCAGCAGGTGGTGGTAGCAGTCAGCCGCCGTCGGCCGCTGCTCCGGGTTGTGTTCCAGACACCTGTTCTGCAACTCTCTGAGCAATTTGGGCACACCCACCAACCCACATGTCTTCACAAGCTGACCCACACCCCACACATCTACCTTCACCCCATGCAAACCCCTCCCCATCTCCGGCGCGTGCCTCCCACTCTTCGCTGCCACCGCAGCCACCCCACCACCACCTCCGTGTGGGTACAACTGCGGCGCACTCACCGCCTCATCAAACCCAGTCACGAACCACTCGTTCTCTCTCTCACTACTCATCATCAACTTGTCCCACCCCAAGTCCCTGTGCATGAACGAAAGGTCATGCAATGCAACTAATGCCTTTGTCACGTGCTTCAGAGCCTCCACTAGTTGGTCACAATTAGTCGGCTTGAATTTGCACCCTCTGGGTTTGAACACCAATGCCAAATCGGTCTCCGATGACCGGACAATCACTTCGGCGTGTGGGATTCTAATGTCAAGAAAGTCATAAATCTCTTTCACAGCAGCCCATTTTCTCCTGCTGGAGAAGAACCGAGTCGCCGTGTTCGGCGTCATTTCAACAAAATTACCATTACCCAGATCGATCCTGTCGAAATCACTGTAAGGAAGGAGTTTATAATTGGTGCCATTGTTGATACAATTCAAGCATCGGTCCGCCAACAATGGCAATAAGCCTGCAATTCTCCAACATGGTACTAGGGCTTTTAGTCTTTCAGTTGGGACTGATAAGTCCACTGAATAAAGATCGGACCGAATTATACGGTCATGTGACCGACTCAGTGCACAGAAAGTCACCATGTAGCCAACAGCATAGTAACCCAATAAATAAGGTACGTCCATGTAAGTCCACAGAAGCTTCTCTACTATTGAAGAAGATGGATCAATGTGACCTTCTCTTAATTGATCAGTTTCTTCTCCTCTCCAAAGACAGAAATTTCTTATGAAACCAGTTAGGTTCGGCCATTGATCCTGCAATGTGTCTAAGGAAGATGAAGTAATGGTGGGTTTCCGGATAAACACCATTTCGACTGAGCAAAATTTGGATACAATCCGATTAATGCAATCATCCCAAAGGCCAATGAAGGAGTCTCTACTACTTGCGGTGGCACTAGTGAAACTAGGGTTGGGTCGGATAATTGAGCTTAGGATGTCGAATGTGATGGCTCTACAATCTAGTAGTTCAGTGGTTGAGGTAGTGAAGAACAGTTCTTTCCCTTGTGGCAAGTCTTTGTACACGTCTTTACGAAGTGGGAAACGAATCTCCTCAGGTGGTGGCTCTTGTAGGTGCCATGAGAGCTCAAACAAGCTTGGTAGTGTTGTTTGTGGTACTCTTAGACACCCTACGTAGTACTCAGTTGGGTCCTTGAATTCCCAAGGGGGAATAGCTGCTGCACGAACACAAGTTGCACAATTACAACTAAATTTAGTATATATATATATATATATATAAATCACACAAACACACACATGAATTGAATATCAAACCATATAAAATTCAACCTTTGCACCAAAGCAATGTAAAAACAATAGAATAGTCTAAAAATGTCTCATTAACAATCCATTCAGTATTCAAGGCATCCAATTATAGATATGATGAGATGAATGATATAATAATTATTAAGCCTAAAACTCAAACCAAGAAATATATTATATATTGCATGATATATATGTAGTGTCTATGCGGAAGTCAATGACTTACGTCTGATGGAGTGTTCTGTTGGTAGAAGTTGAACTCTTTCATTGAAACCTGAGATGAGCACACAGAGAATGTAATATATTAATTTATAGGTTAGGACTTATTTTGGACTACAGAAATTAACATCAATGTCAACTGAAAGATACACTATATATAGACATATACGTATGGTATATACCAGGAGGAGCTGAGGAAGACTTTCTTCTGCCAAAGACCTTGACTTGTTGGCCAGAAAGGAATCTATCAACTGAGAAGCCTTTAAAAGGTCCATCTTCAAAGGCTTCCATGGTGCAAGCAACCATGGAGTCATCCAAGAAAGTAAGCTCGTCTGCATTCAAGAAGCTTGACCCTTCAACCCTCACTCTCCCACGGTGGTGTTCACCTTCTTCTCCCCACAAACTCACCAATTCTTCCCATATCATTCTTATCTTCCCAATCCGACGAAGCTCCTTCGAAGAAGAAGTAGTCGACGACGGACCAACCACGTCTAATACTGAAGAAGACTCAAACCCTAATAAGCTCCCTCTAGTCCCATGAAGAAATGCTTCACCTCCACTACTTGTCATCACTAAATGCTTAGCTCTTGCTGCAAGTAGCATAAAAAAAACAACAAATGTTGGTCAAAATACTGTTCAAAATGAATAATCTGTAGGCATTTTATACTCCATTAGTCCTTAGATTTGTGAGCAATTGTAGGATTATTGCACATTGTTAATTAGAGATTATAAATTTGTTGTCCCCACCCCATGTGGAGCAAGGAGGCTTTTTGTACGGTGTCCGGGGAATCAGTCAGCCAAAAGCCTCGGAGACCCTAATTACCAAAAAAAATCAATTATATAGTTTTAAGATATATACCAGAGAGAGAGAAGTCATCTTCTCTGAAAGGAGGTGGAGGTAAGGACTTGGTAGCTAGGAGAGCTAATCGGGTACCATGATCGTCACCAGCAGAAACAGTGACTGAAGTTCCTAATTTGCTCTGGGACATTCTCATTCTGGACCCCATGAACTGTGACAACTCCTCAAACACTTCTTCATCAAACGAAGCAGGCAACCTATGGAGCTTTCTTTCATAGGGTGAGAGTCTGAAATAACTCTTACCCACATGCTCTCTCTCCCCACCTCTCTCCCACTCATAAACCTTCCTGAACTCGCCTAACATGTTGTCCCACTTAGTACCAGCAGTCTTAGCATCTCTATTAACCCCATGCCTGTTCAAGAACTCAGCAACATCTCTATCTTTCTCAGCTCTAGTCTTTCCTCTGCCCGGCACCGCCACCGCCACCTCACCTGATCCGGAGGCCGCAGCACCCTCCGGTGGCTCGCTCCTTGACGATGAGCCGGACCCGTCTGACCCACCTTGGTACTGGACCCTCCAAGCCCTGGCTAACCACAACATCTCATTGGGCTTCCAAACTGGGCTCACATACTTCCCTTTCCTGAACTGGTGTTGGTGAAACTGCTCTCCCTCTGTCTTGCTGGTCTCTTGTCCGGAGGAGAGAGAAGGGCGTGGAGAGCGAGACGGAGACGAGGTGGTGTCTGAAGACGAAGCTGCTGCTGCTGCTGCTGTGGTGTGAGCCGGTTGGGGTTGTTGATGAGATGGGTAGGTGGAAGTGTGTGTTGAGTGAGATGGGCTTGACTCGCTGCTTAGGATATTGATTTGGGTTTGGGTTTGGGTTTGGGTTTGGGTTTGGGATTGTTTTTGTTGCTGAGATGGGGATGGTAAAAGCTTCCATTGGCCACTAGTATATCTAGGCCTCTTTGGATTCACAGCTTCAAACTGTTGCTGTTGTGGTTGCTCAAAACCACCTGAAGTTGCACCACCACTTGGGATGTAGACAGGAGCAGAGATGAACGGAGGTCCGGTGACCACCGCCGCAGGGGGCGGTTGCTGCCTTTGTTGTTGTGAGGATTCTTCAGCTGGGTCTATAGGAGAAGATGATAAATGTTGTTTTTGTTGTTGTTTCTTGGTAGAATCTCCTTTGTTGTCACCCATCTGATCCATATGGGGGCCCAAGAGACTTGGCAGCTACATAAAACCTTAAACAAAAAACACAACAGGAAGAGAACAAACCACCCTTACTGTAGAACTAGCTTGGTTCATTTTACACTATATAAAATAGAATAATATATATGTATATATATATATATATAATCTGTATGTTTCTTTAACTCTTACCTAAACTCAACAAGAGAACTAGAGAAGTGATGGGGTTTTGGTTTGGTGTTGGAGTTGGATTTCTAGCATATCTTTCAAAAGGGAAAGTTAGGGGAGAGGTAATAAGTGGTGTACGCACACAAAGAACCAGCAGAAAAAGTCGAGATTGTGGAACCTGCTGTGAATAAGACCCTTCAGCTTAACTTAACAGCTAATAATACGGACAAACAGATCACATACCAAAACTTAGGCGTTTTAGAGAGAGAAAGTAGAGCGAGAAATGATTTAGTGTGTGTAATGATTGTACTCTGAAATAGAAAACGCCGCTCAAAATTTAACATTAACAGTATTAAAAAAAAAAATTGATAAAAATGGTTTCTGCTACTAAGGAATATAATAAATACAGAGACAAAAACCTAGAGTTTATTTTTATTCATAATTCACAAAGACCTTGAACACTTTTAATTAGACTGGAATTCAATTTTTGTATTTTTGTATTCTTTTCTCGGAGGTTAAATGTTTGATCTGTTGCATTTGCAAGTTGCAGCAAGTAGACAGAGCCTCCGACTTCTCGCGAGTGAGTGGACGCTTAGTGAGAACTAAGAAGAGAGTCACAGGATGTGGACGGGTCGAATCGATGCTCTGGTGAACGACCCATGACTCTTGGCAATGTACGTACGGGTTTCGAATTTGTTTCATAATCTAATCTAATGCCCTCCTCTCTCTCTCTAGACTCCCACTCTCTCTTTCTCTCTTTTGGCAAGCACGCAAGCCCGCGCAGACAAGGCTGCACTAAACCATTCCCAGAAGGTGCCCAGCTAAAATTAGGAGATTGCTATTTTCCAGCTCAACTCATTACTACATTAAGTTTATGTGGTAATTAATATCATATAATTTGGTAGTATCTGTGAACTAATCTGATGAATGATTTTAGAATATATATATATATATATCTGATGAATTTCACCTCCATGATATACTAAAGAATTCCATTAATTCATCGGATCAACTAAAATTTTGAAGAAATATAATCATGGAATTCCTTAAGGTGCACAAATTCCATAATGTTCATTTTTTTAATAAATTAAATTAGTAATTATTTTTCAAAAATAAATATATGAGTACTTTTTAGAATAATATAGAGTGAAATTTTGATTTTTTTTTTTTTTTTTTTAAGTAGAGAAAAATGGAAGGTAAATATCATTTCAAAGTATTTCAAATAAAATTATAGTGTGTATGTTAAGTAGCGATGACAATTTGTGTTCGTGAGTTATAATCATATGATGTCAATATAAGAGTATTATATTAAACACGTCAACCCGAACACGACTCGTTTAATAGTCCTGTTAGAAACCCTCAACTTTAACCCAACCTAATTATTAAAAGGTTAAACGTATTAACCTTTTAAAGGACCTATTTATGAATATCAGAGATTATATTATTTAAATTATTTATAATAATCAATCAAACAATAAGTACCAGAAAAAATATAAATCCTAATCCAACCAAATTTCTAAATAGTCTTTAGGTCACAAAATAGTAAATTAAAAGATACAGGTTTTAATAGTTATTACAAAATTCAAATATTAAAAGTAGGAAGAAAGCATCGAACACTACTAGTAGGCATAATGCAAATATTTAAGTAATTCTAATCCCTTGAGAATCATAAGGCATATTATGAATTAGACGAAAGAAATGACACTTAAAAGAGTTGATGTATATTTTTATTAGGATTTATGTTGAAATGACTTAATTCACTACTGTTAAACAAATATAAAAGTGTCGAATTACTCAACCCTAATAATGATTAAATAATTGATTAATCGTGTGGAACTGTTTATAATCCGAACTCAACTAAGATCAATTAAAATTCCGATTATCTTATGTCATGTTTGAGTCGTATTGATTATTCATGTCAAATTTTGCCATCCTAATGTATAGTTAGTGCATATATGTGTCTTATATAAAATTACAAATTAATTGTTTTGGGGGTAAATAAATTGGTTTCACGGTGGATAATTAATACAACTGAACGTGGGAAAAAAAGAAAGAAAAAGAAGTTAATATATCATCCATTACTAAAATGAAAATTTATATGAAATATTTATCCAAAAATAAAACTCACAAAACAAAATGATTTCTAATACTTTTGTAGATCGTTCAAATACTTTTGACGTGTAGATGTCATGTTCTGATAAAAACAAATTGCCCAGTAATAATATTTGTGGAGTAACGTTTAAGCTAATAATTTAATCCAAAATAATACCGGATGTACTTAATTTCTTACAAAATTAGGAGCCCAGGGGTGATTTTGTTTAGAGACATAGTAAGCATGACAAAATTTTATGATATAGTAACAGTGATTAATGTGTTTTCATGGTTTGTTTATCTTTTTCACTAGTTTGCAAATAATAATAATAATAATAAAAGAAAGACATAAAATGATTATCAAACATGTCTAAATGTATAAAATTTCAGTAATAATTTATAGAATAAGTGAATTAAAAATGAATAAGAAGTAAGAAGGTTACTTTATATAAATCATACATGAGTGCAAGAAAAATCTATATTTTAAGAAAGAAAAAAAAAATTAAAGAAGAAAAAAATATGAGAGAACTTTGAAGGAAAAAAAGTTAGGTTTTGATTGAAGAAAAAAAATGCAAATTAATTTGAAGAGAAACAAACAAACGAAAAAAAAAAAAAAATTTGAAGAAAGGTAAGAATTAGAAGAAGAAAAAATAAAGAATTAAAGAGATTTTTAGAAGATTTTTTTTTTTTTTTAAGGGAGTCATTTAATCACTGTTTACACATAAAATACAGTAAACCTAATAAAAACTAATGGCTAGCATAGGCCCCCGAGGCAGCACCCCCTTGGCCTATGCTGGCTAGGGGTGGGACTTGGGGGGGCCAAGGGTTAGCCCACACCAAGCCCAAGTCCAGTGAAACCAATCACAATTCAATCCGCGCCATTCCGCAGGGGTTGCACGGGGTTTTTGGGTTCCTTGGGTATAGAAACGAAAATTTAAGCAAAAAAAAAAAAGAAAAGAAAAGGGCACTGCGAGAATAGAAGATAGAACTTAGAACGAGCCACCAAGTAGGTTTTCTTTAAGACTTTGGTGATTAAAACCTGTGAACTTCATGAAAATTTTGTTAACTATAATTTGGAAAGAATTCAAAATCATATACTCTTTATTATATTGTTTTCATAATTAAAATTCAATTTTTATAAAATAATTAAATATTAAAACACCTAGTTTAAACTTTATTTTAGAGAGAACTACCTCGGTTCCCAGAGACGGTGTCAACTGACGAAGATTTCAAGACTTTGGTGATTAAAACTTGTGGACTTCATGAAAATTTTGTTAACTATAATTTGGAAAGAATTCAAAATCATATACTCTTTATTATATTGTTTCCATAACTAAAATTCAATTTATATAAAATAATTAAATATTAAATCACCTAGTTTTAACTTTATTTTACATAAACAAGGTATAACATTAAAAATATTAAAATATATGTTTTCTTGTATTTTGTGTTCTTCGGATTGCTCGGGTAAGTAAAATCTATGCCCAAATCTTACCCAAAATAAATTCGAGTTTTAAATTTTAAACCCAATCCCAATCCCAATCCCAATCCCATGGTCCCAATAAGTTGCCCACGCACGTAAAATTTTTGGGTGGGAATCGAGTTACTCGAGTTAGTCCCATCCCTAATGTTGGCTCCACCCCTATACATACCATAGTTAGTAAAATACATGTTTATAAACGAATAGATATAGCTTGATTTTATTGTTTAAAAAAATAAGCATAAAAATAAAAAATTTGAAAATTATGAATACATATATCATACGGTATATTATTTATTTTGTTTTAAAATTAGTTAGTAAAAATTTGACCACACATATACTATTTTTCTTCTCTTATAATTTATATATTTTCATTTCATAATATAAAATATTAGAAATTAATAAGGAAATATAAAATGCTACAGTGAGATGGATGATTTAGAAACATTAAAGAGTTTATAGAAATTAGTAGATTGGGAAGATTTCGGAAAAGGGGAGAGTTTGTAAATATTAACATTATAAATGGAGAATTCTAGTAACTAAATCTTAACGATTGATTGCAATACCTCCTGACAAGAATGTCTATATATGGATTAGAATAACATTTGGAACAACTAGGATTGAATTAGGTAGACGGCTTGAGATCAATTTAAATGGTATTCAGTTGTGGGAGTTGTTAACCAAAGTTTGCAAGTTACATCAAGGTGTACTATTTATACAATTGTAGGGAACCAATTCTAGCCGTTGTTTAACTTCATAATGTCCCAATTGTGCCACGTGTCCATGCGGTAATGTGTGACTCCATGTTCTCTCACGATTAATTATCAATAAAGTGTATTTAGTGGTTTAAAACATGTTGCACTATAGCCATTTTCTTGGCCTCCATATGAAATCCCACATTCATGCTAAATTTGTTTTTGTCCCTTCTTCATCACTTGCTGATTTTTAAGCAAGTTTTCAATCCACCTTCTTTATTTTCTCTATTAGAGACTTGTTTGGAGTGACTTAGTGAGTATTTGAATCAGAATCCCTCCACAATCCTTTATTCGATAAGATAGTAAAGTGATTTTAGCAGTTAGTCAATTAATAATGGCAACTAGATGCATAAAACGTTATTTGGTTAAAGTAAATTTTAATATAAGTCTTTTTTTTTTTCTTTTTTTTTTTTTTTTTTGAGAAATCATTAGATGGTCCTAATATATTTCATACTTAGTAGATTAATTCAATTACAGTCTTTCGATCATGACACTTTGTAACATATTAATACACACTTGTGGGA